TGTGTGTGTGTGTGTGTGTGTGTGTGTGTGTGTGTGTGTGTGTGTGATTGTTAAATAATTTCCCAAATGTTGATGTCAATCAATTTTGGGTAAAAATGTATCATATTCTTATTATAGAAATCATTACTAAATTACACACTGCAAGAGCGGGAAAATTAGGACCATGTGACTGAGAAGATAACATGTTGATTAATGTGAGGGTATGGAGAACAAAGTTACCTAGTTACACCCTAAACTAAACAGGTCAGAACCCCTCTGGAGGTTGGTCAACCAGAATAGTTGATAACACAAGACTTATGACACAAATTAATCATTAGTCTAGTTGGGTCTAGTCCAGCAGTATGTCAGTCTAAGTCATCTACCTAGTCTAGTCTAAGTTAAGTTTTGCCCCAAAGCCTTAGTTTCTGACTCAATTACTAATGGATGGTTTGTTCGGTTCAGGTCTATGAAATAGCATGCATTGTTTAGCATGCAGTTTACAAGTATTAGAATAAATACAATTATTTTTTTAATAAAGTATTTTCTGTATTTAAAGAGAAATGTCTTACAAGTTAAGACTCTGTGCCTACATCCCCTGTTTTAATCCCGTTACCTTATTAATAAATGGTGATTTCATTGAACTATTATTCTTGGTGGTCAACAAAAGTAATATCATTTCAGAGATGATAATTATGGCCAGTTCAACTGATTGCGAGATGATTCATTTGATCAGCTGTAAAACAATAAATTTGTTATTATCTTAAATTCCCTGTAATTTGCTCCCTTACAAATATGAGACATGCCTGAAGCTGCTGTAAACCCGTAAGTGTAACAAAAGGGCAGTCTATTCTGTCAAGTTGCGCCAAGTTGCTACACTTTACAACACTTTACACTTATTTTTTACAGCTAACACAGCAGCTGTGAAAAACTATGTAGAATTCCAATTCCGAACAACAATTCCAATTAGTTAGATCAATTAATGTAAGTATTCATGGTATTCTGTTTATTAGGAACAACTTTTTATATGTGGCAAAAATCACTGCAAACAGCCCAATAAGGCTTTATATAAAAACTTTTCATATGTAGTTTCTTGGAATGCTCCAAATGATTGGAACCAGCTGATAATTACTTCCTTTCTGATAATAACTTCCTCCTTCCTTTGATGTGGTCTCTCAGCTTGTCGATCACATAAACCAGTCACATTTTTTTACAATAATAACGCATTTAAAAGGTGTGTATAATTGAAATCACTTCATTGAAATAAACTCCAAACCAATTACCATTCAAGGAGAACTGGTTGGGAACCACGGTTTTAGACAATACTGAGAAATATCTGACTGGACTGCACTGAAGCATATTAACAAGAATCCAGTGTAGCAATACCTATGACTCACCTCCACATCTCGGCTACGTGCCACTTCTGTGAAGTGCTCTTGCTTCTCCAAAGTTTTGTCCATTTTATCACCAGTCATACAGAAACAGCGTAATCGAGCCTCAATAGGGTCATGTGTTTTGGCAAAGATGACGAATTTGGCAATGTAAGGTACACAGATGATCTCATGATACACCTGAGTGGCGAAGTTCACCGACTCCTTCACCTGCCTGCAGTCTATAAGCCAGAATCTGATGAAGAAAATATGGGATATATTAGTGCTTATTTTATAATTAATTTATTTATTCATTAATTCATTTATTGTTTGTATGTGGGCTTCAATGAGGATTGGCAGTTAGAACAGGAAAATTTGTCATTCAAAATAAAATAATAAACTTGTTGCGTCTTTTCCAATCAAAAAGACAAAATAGTGTACATGAATTTTAACATATATTGAGTAGTGCTCCACCAGGCAATGCTTGTAGAAAAAATACCTGGCCGACACGTTTGTGGTGAAAGACACACAGTCATTGGTGAATGTTAATGGTGTAGTCCCAGTGATATCCTCCCATTGAGCAGGAGTGGTCCCACCTAAAAATGCAAAAATCATCTTTGGTTTCAAAATTCAAACATGTTTTTAAATGTAGCAACAATATTTTTGGTATTTTCAAAAGATTTTTAATGGTTTTCTTGATCTTTGTTTTGTTGGTCTCTAGTTTGTCTTCTTATATTTATTTTTATATCATGCAATTTTTTTAAGTCGTCTTCACCTCTGTAAACGGTACAATCATCTTCCAAACAGTAATTTTAAGTGAAGATTCAGGAACTACAACAACAACTGCACATTCTAGACATATAATAGGAAGTCATGGCCTAATGGTTAGAGAGTCGGACTCGTAGCCCATAGGTTGCGAGTTCGAGTCTCAGGTCCGGCAGGAATTGTAGGTGAGGGGAGTGAATGTACAGCGCTCTCTTCCACCTTCAATACCACGACTGAGGTGCCCTTGAGCAAGGCACCAAATCCCCAACTGCTCCCTGGGCGCCGCTGCATAAATGGCTGCCCACTGCTCCGGGTGTGTGTTCACGGTGTGTGTGTGTTCACTGCTGTGTGTGTGCACTTAGGATGGGTTAAATGCAGAGCACTAATTCCTAGTATGGGTAACCATACTTGGCCACATGTCACGTCACTTTTTTTTAATTATATAACCAGAAATTGGTAAGTCTTTTTAATTTCAAATCAGAAGTGCGTCATGATGCTCAGTACAAGTAGATTATTCTAGGCTCTACACAATGTCCTAAATGACTTAACCCATGCCACTGGTTGTAGTGCTACATTGTTACACTTAACCTATGAATGGCTTACTTCCTGTGTAGTTGTCTCTGCATATTGATTAAGGCTTAATACGCTTTTAATGCATATTGTGCAACCTATAGAATGAAGAGCATTTTGTTTTGTTTCTGTATATTCCTGTGTACTTTCTCACCTGTGATGCTGCATAGCAAACGTAATGTAGGAGTATCTCCACCTCCAAAGCAGCCAAGGATTGGGTCAGTGGAGCTCTTCGGGACAGGGATAGTCATGGTTATGGGTTTATGGAATTTCCTCCTCCGCGGTTCCAGAGTGACTATAGGGCTGAATGTGGCTTTATTACCCAAATTCTTCCTCACTACATCAACACACATTGGTTGAGCCTGGCCAAAAAGCAAAGGCAATAATGAATACAACTATCACAATGATAGGTTCAGAGCAAATTAATAATTTAAAGTAACACATTGTATCTCATTGTCATCTGTTCAAAATGTGTTTAAATATTGTGACTGTTACCAACAGAATGCCTGTGATAGCAAATCAGCTCAATTACATAATAAAGCACTAAAAATTTGATTAAAAATAACTATTATGTACATTTGAGAAGTTTAACTTTCATCTTAAACTTTTAAGAAAAATCAAAAAGACAGTGGCACACTGAAAGTACATTGTACTATTTCTACT